CTCTTTCCTGCTTATGCAGGGGGTCAGACTCGATGATCTATTGAGGTCCCTTCCGACCCTAACATCTATGAATCTATGAATCTATAATATATTAGTAAAGCCTCTAGTTGCTTTTTACCCAGAGAAAATGTGTGTTATATGTGATGTTGCACCACACCATCTGCACCTCCCTTTTCAAAATCTACTTCCATCCATGGCACTACTAATGACTTTTTCACTGTAACGGCAGGGAACTTTTCAGTCAAAATGTAGGCAGAAAGCAAAAATCTTGCAGCATTGAATTTCCAGTCTCCTCTGGCACAGAGATCCAGCTTTCTTTCATCCCAGTGGGAAAACTACAGACTCGAATGCAGCTATCCCATGCAGTGATATTGCTTCATGAACACCCTCATCATCCAGTCCCTTCTATAAACATGTCAAGCTTAATTTTTCAGGTCTACCAGTCTTTATCTGTCTAAAAAACTTTAATTTCTAGTCTCAACTTGTTTGTTAACATCTGTAGGTTGGAGATCAGGAGGAAATTTCCCAATTTTTTCCTTCATCTGTGACCAACAAGTATGAGCCAAGCAAATCCTCATTGGTGGCTGGAGCTTTAACGGGCCACAGTCCATCTTGCCAAATTCACACACAACAGAGGAGCAAGGACACTTCCACAATTGAAAAACAAAGCTTTTAAGTCTGCTTGTACTTTCCCAGCCTTTTCCACACGATCACCCTTCATTTCTGGCCCATGTCAGGGAGTTGAGTTTTTATATACCTGTTGTAGACAAGTTCTGCAGGTGACTTCCTACATTGTAGTGGTGTAGCTCTGTAGTTGAGCAGTGTGAAGTAAGGATCTTCTCCTTTCTCTGCTTTTTTAAGCAGGTTCTTCACAACACACATTCCATATTCTGCCAATCCATTGCCATTAGGCTGTTTGCGACTGGATCTCTCACGATGGAAGTCATACAGTTGAGCAAAGTCACAAAATTCCCTATTCTTGAACTGCAATCCACTGTTGGTAATTACAGTTATTGGAATTCCATGGTGTGCAAATATAGATTTAATATGACTAACAACTAATGCTGGGCAAAGCTTTAGTCCTTGATTCGATTTGGTGGAGATTCGGCCCAATTTGGTGGCCGAATCTGAATCGAATCAAGAGACCCTTTAATCTCTCCGAATTGAATCGGAACCCTCTGCTACATCCCTTTTCAATATTGCCCATTATTGTCACCCTTCTGTTGGCTTAGGCAGAGCCAATACGTTTCAGACGACTCATTGCCTACTACACGATTATGGCACCGATCCACATCTTCTCCAGTTTGGCTAACAATTTCCCATGCTGCTGCACAGTATCAAATGCTTTGCTTAAATCTAGAAAGATTATATCCAATCCATTGCCTTTTATACAAGAAATCAGTTCCTGTATCTGAGAAAGATATTTCATTGATCTGACACCACATTCCTTCAGTAAACCACATTGTTTTTATCTTATTTACTGTTCACTTCCAGACTCTTAATTATTCTTTGTTCCAATATGAGTTCTAAAACCTTTCATAATACTGAAGTCAAGATGATGTGACTGTAGGTGGCGGTGTGTGTGGCCTCCCCCATTACGTCAATGAACACACATCTGCTCTTCTCCAGGGCACTGTTCATAAATTACCAGGTTCATTAAGGGAGTCGTTAATCCTGCTTCCAGTCCTCATTATTTTGAGACAGAGATTCTCTCTTCTCCACAATTACAGAATCATAGACAATGAGTGTTGGAAGGGACTTCAGGAGGTCACATCTAGTCCAACCCCTTGCTCAATGCAGGACCAGCCCCAACTACATCATCCCAGCCAAGGCTTTGTCTACCCGGGTCTTAAAAACCTCCAAGGATGGAGACTCCACAACTTCCATGGGTAACCTGTTCCAGTGCTTTACTACCCTCTTAGTGAGAAAGTTTTTCCTAATATCCAACCTCAACTTCCCTTGCTGCAACTTGAGCCTATTGCTCTTTGTTCTGTCATCCTCCATCCTCTTTCAAACCTCCCTGCAGGAAGCTGGAGGATATTAGTCAATCCCTCCTCAGTCTTTTCTTATGGAAATGTAGGAGTGATGTTGTAGCTGTGATCATAGACAGAGGGAGAAAATATTACTGGGGGGCATCAGCATGAGTCCTACAACTCCCATCATGCTCTGTGCGGTGCAACGCATGCATAGTTAGCCTCTTCTTCCTGAGCCATGAGGAGCTGAGCATGCATGGGGCGCTGGCTTGGCTGCATGCCAAGTGGTGCCATGGTGCTGCTGCTGTCAATGGCCACTGTAATATTA